AAAAAAAGACTTAAGTGGCAGGCATTCAGACACATCCCTGTATCTAGAGTTTCCTATTACACAGCTCTACTCAGTGTGTACAATTCTTAGATGGCCTTCTAAAGATCCTATGTTTCCCCTTATGAAGAAGTATAAGGAACAGCATGGCTTTACAAGCACTCATGGTGCTCTGGCACGGTGCCAGATGACTGGAAAAGGGTCAATGTGGTCCCCATTTTCAAAAAAGGAGGAAGGAGAACCCAAGAAACTATAGGCCTGTTAGTTTTACCTCGGTCCTGGGGAAGCTCTTTGAGAAAATTATCCAGGAGCACATCTGCAAGGGACCAGCAGGGGAGATTATGCTTAGGGGAAATCAACATGGGTTCATCAGAGATAGGTCATGTCAGACCAACCTGGTTGCCTTCTACAACCAGGTCACAAAAGCCTTGGACGCAGGTGTCATGGTGGACGTAGTCTTTCTGGACTTTAGGAAGGCCTTCAACACCGTTTCTCACCCCATCCTCATTAAAAAATTAGGCGACTGTGGTGTCAATGCCTACACAGTCAGATGGGTCACAAATTGGCTGGAGGGCCGCACCCAGACAGTGGTGGTGGACGGGTCATTTTCGACCTGGAAGGATGTGGGCAGTGGGGCCCCCCAGGGCTCGATTCTCGGACCCGCACTGTTCAACATCCTCATCAGCGACTTGGACGAGGGGGTGAAAAGCACCCTGTTCAAATTCGCGGATGACACTAAGATGTGGGGAGAAGTGAGCATGCTGGAAGAGAGGGACAGGCTACAACTAGATCTGGACAGGTTACAGAGGTGGGCGGAGTCACTATTGATTCCAAGATGAACATGAGCTGCCAGTGTGGGGATACAGTCAGGAAGGCTAACCGCACCTTGTCATGCATCCATAGATGCATCATGAGCAGGTCCAAGGAGGTGATCCTCCCCCTCTATGCGACCTTGGTCAGGCCGCACTTGGAGTACTGCATCCAGTTTTGGGCACCGCACTTCAGGAGGGATGTGGATAGCATAAAGAGGGTCCATAGGAGGGCCATTCGCATGATCAGGGGCAGCAGGGTAGGCCCCATGAGGAGAGGCTATGGGACCTGAAACTGTTCAGCCTCCACAAGAGAAGACTGAGAAGGGATCTGGTAGCCGCCTATAAACTTGCCAAGGGGGACCAGCAGGCAATGGGAGAGTCCCTGTTCCCCTGAGCCCCTGTTACTCCCCTGAGCACTACGGGGAGTAACAAGGAATAATGGCCATAAGTTGACTGAGAGTAGATTCAGGCTAGACATCAGGAGGCGCTACTTCACAGTCAGGGCAGCTAGGAGCTGGAACCAACTTCCAAGGGAAGTGGTGCTCACCCCTACCCTGGGGGTCTTCAAAAGGAGGCTAGACAATTACTTAGTCGGGGTCATTTGACCCCAGCATCCTTTCCTGCCCATGGCAGGGGGTTGGATTTGTTGATCTGCTTAGGTCCCTTCCGACCCTACCAACTATGAAACTATGAACTTAGATACCAAAGCCAGGGATCTGGCTTCCATTTCGGGAGTTTAATGCCTAACTTGCAAGTACCTAAATCTTGAAATGGATCTATTCCTGGATCTCTCTCTGTGTTAGTTCGGTCAAACACAACTAATGGGGCTTAATATAGATGTAACGAGATGAACTTTAACTAGATGGCCTTTTGAATCACAAGAGCTCAGACTTGATAATCTAATAGTCCTTCTGGCTTTGAAATTCCTGATAGCATCAGACAAATTCACAATGCATAGGACAGAAATAAATTAAATTACAGCAATACATTTCTTTTGGCTCCTCCATGCTAGATTTTATATGAAGGAGAATATGTGATAATCCCACACAAGACCTTAAAGACAGAAGCAATACTGTAACGCATTAATGTTGATTAATTTAGTTGCAATAAGGTAGGCTCTTCTTAAAGCTCACCATTAGCTAGCCATTGGAAGAGTAAGTCAACAATGAAATGTCAGTAAATTAGCACAAATTGCTAAATATTAAATAAGATAGATAAATAGATAGATAAGAATATTATCTATCTGCATGTTTTTTTAAATAATTCCCTTTGTGCTCCAGGAGCAAAACTATTTTTCAAAGAGAGGTTAAAAACAAAAAACCAAACCCCCCAAACCCCTAGTTCTCATGCGTGAGAAGGAGAAAACAAGCCCTGACACTATACTGTAGAAAAACAGAGTTATCCATGTTTACATCCATCTCAATAGAGTATAGGTTGAATCTAGTGACACCTTAGATGTCAACACTGCCAGATATTTCATTGCTGATCCATGTAGCAGAAATGCTAAAGCTGAAGTGTTTATCCAACATTACTTGATGGAGATAGATGTGCACCGATACATTGGTCAGATATCAGATCAGCACCAATATAAAGAAAGTTAACTATATTGGAAATTGGTCACATCAGGCCGATAATTTGGCCTGTGCTCAAATGCAGCGCAGCGCAGCACAGGTGGGGAGGAGGACAGCTCAGCAGTGTGGACAGCTGCCTCCAGCTGGTAAGTCTGGAGGGGTGGAAGGGGAGGGAAGGGGCATGGGGGGCAATTCAAGGCCCCTGCAGTGAGGAAGGCATGGGGCTGGGACAGGGGCTGCCCAGCAGGGGTGGGGCAGGCATGGGATGGGGCAGCAGCTCATTTGGGAGGGGCGCAGGGAGAGGTGGAAGCAGCTCCCACTACTGTGCGCAGCTCTGTCAGGAGCCGCTGGTCTGGCAGCTCCCACTACTTATCTGGGAGGGCATATGCCCCTGGATCTGCTCAGGGTGGGCTGGGGCCGCATCAAGCTCTTCCCCGTGGAGCAGAACTGTGCTAGGAGGAGGGGTTACAGCGAATTTCTGGCTGTAACCCCTCTCCCCCCATAGACCCTTCCCAGTGCAGCCTCACCCCACTGGGAAGAGCTTGGCACAGCCCTGGACCCAGCCTGCCTGCCTCCACCCATGGCTTCCCAGATGACCGCCGGACAAGCAGGCAAGCCGGACAAGCAGGCAAGCGTGACGAGCCTCAGGACAAGTGGCTCCTGGCCGAGTGGCTACCTGCTCCCCTTGTCTCTGGACAAGCCACGGCTGTCCCATGCTCACCTTGCCCTGGCTGGGCAGCGCTTGCCCCAGCCCTATACCTCCCTCGCCACAGGGGCCTTGATCTGCCCCCTCCCCTTCCACCACAACAGATTTACCAGCTGGAGGCAGCTCTCCATGCTGCTGGGCTGTATATTGGAAATCAGATCAATAATTGGCCAATATACGTCCTTAAAAATCTGCTATTGGTATTGGCTGCAAAAAAATCTGTCAGTGCACCCCTAGATGGAGGAACAGGGGCCAGTGTCAACATATCTCGGAGTTCATGGACGAGGCCTAAATGGGAAATTCAAAGTCCATTCACCCACTAATTTAAGAGTCATCTCTTCTGTAAAAGCAGCAAAAGTAACTCCAGCTTTCACTCCTCCTCATGGGATTTTACAGTGTACATTGTAAAACCCTGAAAGTGTAAGAGCAGAGCAAGTTAAACACAAGTGATTCTTTTTTTTTTTTCCATTAAGGCAAGGGATACTTTCATGCTTCCCCAAAATAATGTAATATGCTCACTGTGCTCCATCCCTTTAATTTACAAGGTATGGAGCAGTTTAAGTGACTATAGAAGATGGCAGAAATACTGTCTATTGCTAAGTGAGAATTTGCTTGCAATCTTAGAAGTATTAATGGGAAAGTCCTAAATACAAACATGTACAAACAGAATGGGGAATACTATAAATCAGCAGTGAATACTGAGAGGCTTGTGAAGAAAAACAACCAACCAACCATGGCTGGACCACTGAAATGAATATTAGAACTTACCAAGTATTTGATCACCCAGAGTAGATCGAAGTAGAAGCAGGTATCTTATAGATCCCTGAATAAGTCACCTCAATACCTTTCTTTAGAGATGGTCTGAACTAGCTTCCCAGTTGGTTGATAGGCACCCCTGATACCAGGTCCCGGAGAACAATTAAAAGGTGCCTACACCCAAGTACAACTACACTGGTTTCAGAAGTGTGATGAAAGCCAACATGAATATAAAAAGGTAGGGTGGAGTCATAACACTTTGAAAGTGGTACCAGCAGGTGGTAGCCATTCTTTCCCCCCTCAATATTGACCACTGGCTTGTGTTCATGTTTTATAAGCAGCAAGCAATCTCTGTCAACCGTTATCAAAAGTTTTGATGTCAATTAGGCAGACAAGGTTCCTTGGGTGAATCTGTTATCTTTTATTAGACCAACCCAAATAGTTGGAGAAAAGTTATTAAGCAAGCTTTCGGGTTCAAAAACCCTTTGTCAGGCTAAGGAAGTTTCAGCAATGTCAACTGATGTCAATTAGAAGCATGTTACTTCTACCTGAAGCTTTCTGGTATTAACTTAAGCACTGCCACACTTCCCCAAGTCAGAAATCTTACCTGTACCTATTTTATAAATAGCAACAAAGTACTAACTGGTAGGAGAATGTATGAGACAGAAGTTCATTTCTTCTCCTCCTTATTTAATCTGTATGATTATTTTCAGCAATTGTGAAGTGTTAGATCACTGTTAAAGTAATAATTACGCTTAAAAATTAGAACTAGCTGTAGAGTGCTATCAGAGTTTAGACAACTTAAGCCTGTCACCTATTTAAAGATTTTAAATATCTTGGGGGGTGGGAGGGGTGGAGGGAAGCAGGTGTAAGCCAAAAAAACCCCACCAACTAACTTATTTATGGTTGAAAGAGTAGTGTGTAGAACCAAATATGAATAAAATTAAAAGCAAAAAAATGTCTGGCTTCTCTAATATCTCTGTAACCTTTTGAAATCGAGTCATATGTACTAGTATGGGTTTGGTATGAAGAAACAGAAAAAAGAACCTTCTTATCATTCATCCTTGCACTCCAAATTTCATACTACAGCATGTCAGCTTCAGTCCAGGAAAAGTGGGGGGGAATCATTTCTCAGTGAATAAACACATTAAGCAAGTATTGTTTTGAAGATTTTTTTAAAATGTATAATTGATCACTACTGAAGTTGTGTCTCTTATTAGTGATGCACAGTAAATACATTCATCCTCACAAGTTCATTATGGCTATGGAAAAAAGCAAGAGAAACTTTTCAATTCTATTTTACATTGTGAAGGTTAGAAGTGAACAAATAAGAGCTTTAACGGAAGTGAGACGGAGGAAGAATTTCCTTCTTCAACTCTAGCATTGTAAATTTATTTTTCTTAAACAAAAGTTGCCTCCAACCAACAAAGTAGTGGTTTTAACAGTATTAAGATAAGACTCCATAATCAGTTTCAAGTTAAGTTTTTAGAGTTGATTATGTTAACTCACTTGAATTCCTTACCATACCACCACCCATGGTACTTAATTCTTCCAGAAAAGGATGGATCCTCCTTTTATAGTCACTAACCAATGAGCAGTTTCAACTTAAAATTCCCTTTTTAGAGACAGTCATATTGCAAGCAAAAGCTTTTACTTCTTGGGTGAGAACATTTCAGTGATTATTAAAAAGCTTCTGAAAAAAGAGCATATGCTCTATTAATGAAAACTATTAGAAAGACTGCATAAGCAAGATAAAAATCCTCTGTCATCCTTATGAAAGATGAGGAAGTAGTTGGCCATTTTGAGAGGCACTAAATAGTCGAGTCAGGACCTGCCTTCCCAGGTGACCTTCCCCGCCTCTCCCTTCCACCTCAACTTCATTTCGTTCTCCCTTCCCTTTAGAAGTTGCAGATAGTTGCAAAGATTTAGGCATGTTAAAGTATTGTTGCTGTCACTTCAACTAGATTCTTTCTGATGTTCTTTGTGGAAGAGGTATGGCAAAGTGGGTAGTAGATTAGAAAGAAGAGGGAAATATTACAAAGCTGGAGTGAAGGCCCTCCTCTCCCAAACACTCAAGAATTTGGCTGCCAAGACCACCAGTAGACTGACTAAAAAGTCTTCTTGACCATTCTTTATAATGAAGAAACAGGGAAAAAAAACCCATGAGATTTTTGTTTTTTTAATTGCATTATCCAGAATGACTACAAACACTTAGAACATGATTGTACTCATTCAAGCCCAATTCAGTTTACATGCACTGCCCAAAGTAATAACTGCCAAACAAGTGTGTACTCCAACCACCCTCATGAGCCACATGATCTGGCTGATGAGACAGATGCAAAAAGTTAGATACAGTACATGTAAAAATAGAAACTTTAAAAACCCAAATCTGGGGGAGACGCTTCCATTTCCACCTCCCTTGTGAAATAAATAAGGCAGCAGGTCACAATTAGTTAGCAGTCGCCTCTTTGAGGTATGCTATCAAGTCTGCCCTCTCCGGCTTCTTCTTAATGCCAGCAAAGATCATCTTTGTCCCTGGGATATACTTCTTGGGGTTTTCCAAGTACTCCATCAGGGTCTCCTCACCCCAGGTAATACCTAGGAGTTAAAAAAAGAAAGAGTTATTGGCAATGTCATCTGCTGAAAGCATTACACCCCGAGTGCAGCAAATGGCTGGGAAGAAGCAGCTCATGTTTTCTTCAGACCGAATGCCTGTGGCACAAGGGCCAGGCCAGGCCGGCCGGAGGGCGACGCTGTCACTGGAACCCGCTGTTCCGGTGCAGCTAAGACAGAGCAGTGCAGGAGCGGTCCTCGCTCACCTTTGTTCTTGTTGGCCTCCGTGTAGGAGAAGCCGGGCGCCTGCCCAGTCTTGCGCCCGATCAGGCCGTGCAGGTTGGGCCCAGTCTTGTGCTTGCCACCCTTCTCCACAGTATGGCACTGCGCACACTTCTGCACGAAGATCTTCTTGCCTTTCTCCACGTCCCCCATGCTCGATGCTGCAAGACAGCGGCGGGGCCAAGGTCATACTTCCGCTCCCGGCGGGACACAGCTCCCGCACTCCCACCCCGCCGCGCACCCGCCAGCCCCTGGCAAAACCCACGTGCAACCGACCGCTAGTCTCAGTGTCCTAACGCCTGACCCCAAGGACACGCCGTACTCCAGCCTATGTAAGCCGGTGCCTCTGCAACCGAACCGCGCCGGTACTTGCCCCGCCCACCCCGGTACACTGGCCAATCGCGTGCTAGTTTGGGCGCGCTGATACGCGTACAGCGGTGTCCGTCAGAAGAAACGTCGCGAACCAAGACTAGCAGGGTAGATTTCATTCAAAGGCGTGTCGGGCCCCGCCTCATCCTCCTTGCGTCACAGCACACAAGCTCCGGCCAGTACATCACGGGAGAGGGAACAAAAGTGTCTTTCGCACATGCGCAGAATGGAAGGCGAAGCACGAGAGAGCGGCGCATAGAAAGGGGCGGAAGTCACGTGGTGGTTTCGGCAGTGACGTAAGCAGGGAATCCGTGTGTGCAAGTGAAGCCTCCGGGCGGATTCGCGGGCCCACGGCCACAGCACAAGCTGCCGTTTGCAGGTGCAGCGTGTCCAGCCCCCATCGCGGTTCATTTGCTCCAGTCATGAACAGGAGCCGCTGCACCTTGCTGAGGAAGCTCTTCCCTCACGAGCGCTCGTGAAAGTGGTGGAGTAGTGGGACGAGCAGAGGTCACCCAGCCCAGCACCTGCCTGGCTTGGGGCAGGAGTGACCCTGGTCCAGCCATCCTCCGCTGATCCATCCCGTCACCCCACAGTACAACCGTCCTCAGCCCTGACAAGGCAGATCTAGCCCGAACCTGCTAGGGGTAAAGCAGGGGAACCACCCCAGCCCACTATGGAATGTCAATATAGGCACAAGAGGTCTGCCCCCCGCCCCGTCTCTACCAATCTGACCATGGGGTAAAATTCCTTCCTGACCCCAATCTGGCAGTCATTCTGACCCTGAATGGCACGCCCCAGTCAAAGTCCCCAGCCTTGCCTTGCCTGCAGCCAACACCCAGTGCCTCTGAGAGAGACTTAAAGGAACCAGGAAACACACCTGACACATGGGGTGGGGTGGGTCTGACAGCAGGATTTCCTCCCAGCTGCAGGGGCAACCAGCAAAGCCCACAAGCATGGGAAATACCCATGGTACTAGGGCATGGTTACACCATCCCTGACTTGTGCCTTGAACACCACCATTAATAGAGTCCTCAACTTCCCTAGGCAGTCTATTCCACTACCCTTTTCTCAGAGCTTTTTAACTCCTAGTATGTTGCTTGTGAAACGTGATGAACAAAACTGAATGTAATAAACACTGAGGAGTTCTGTGATAACATAATCTGTATTCCCTAAAGTTTAACATTTCTTTTGAATGCTATTTATTGAGTGGACGTCTTCACTGACTTCTAATTTTTCTCCCTGAGAGGTTACAGTTAATTTAGAACCTATTAGAGTCCTAGATGTTCAAACTGCACCTTGCTGCGAGCATTATTTTGTACATTGCAATTAAATTGAGCCTGTTACTGTGCTGCACAGTTGGAGTGCTATGTCCTCCAGGAGTTCCTCATACTCTTCATTGTCTTAATTACTGATTCAGTAATCTTCTAGTCTTAATAGCCAAGAGATCACGGAGACCTGGTGGGACTCCTCACATGATCAGAGCATAGCTGTACAGGGCTACACCCTGAAAGATAAACATAGAACTTTCATGCCATTTTATACTTTTCACTGTTGACCTGCATTTTTATTCTATATTAAACTTCTGTGGAACTACATATTCCTGATGCATCTTAAAATAGAAAGGCAAGTTACTCATATGAATACAAATGGATTGGTCATGAAACAGTAATGGAATCTTGCCTAATTTTAGCCGGTGCCACTTGGTAGATCAGTGGTTTTCAACCTGTGGTTTGCAGCCCCCAGGGGTCCACAGACTATGGCTAAGGGGTCTGTGAAAGATTACTATGATCGATCAAAAGTATGTGAATACCCACACTTACAATTCAAAGGGTTTCACACCTATATTAAAAAATTTTAGGGGCCTGCAAATGAAAAAAGGTTGAAAACTACTGCAGTAGATGGATGATAACCTGTGATACTATCTGTCTAATGAAAATATCTAGATTTCATAGGTTATTAAAAAAAAGTATGCAATAAAGGCAATAGGCCACATTTCCAACTGGTGGTTTTAATGGAGCCACACTGCTTTAGACCAGTTGAGGATCTGACTCATTTTGTTTTAATTTCTGCGCTACCATACAGTTCACAAGAGACTGGTTTCAAGGATGCTATTAGTCATTTCTACAGGCAAATGGTACTGTGAAGTATTATCGTGTTTTGGTGGCAGCTTCAAAAGACAAGAAAACAAAATAATTAAACAAACACATTGTTAATACACTGTGTGAATTCTGTCAACAAAATACACTAACCCTGATTCAGCTTTTGATCATTTGTCTCCATGTTAGAATGCGTGTGATCATGTAAATGCACTATAGTAACAAATGTTACATCTGGTTGCAGAATCAAATACTGGTAACTGCAGTACTTACAAGTTTCACATCTTCCCCTAATTCTCCAGTTATTCTGCCAATTAGCTTCACATCATAATCATCCAATACAAGGGGCTGCATAGGACCTCTACCTTAATGGAAACACATTATATTATTCTTCAGTGGTTAGAAATATGAGAAAAAAATATATATAGGAAAAAAAAGAATTTACATTGTGAGAGACACTTACGATGCATCTTCTTTATAAAAATACCCAAAGTATTTTGGTATAGAACTGAAAAATGGAAGTGTGAATTCACTAGATAAGCTTCTATACTGACATTATGTTACCTTTTTCTCTAGTCATTGATATTAAAAATACCGCATACCTGTGAAATCATGGTGATAAGATGTTATCCAATGGGACCTTTCTAAATTCCGTAGCATGTTGGTTGTTCTTGCAGAGAGATTAGGTTCTAATGGTTTAAAAGTAGTATTGGGAGCCACAGTCTTTGGAGGCTTTGGATAATACCTCTGACCACTTCCGTCAACAAATTTAGGAAGCTAAAAAGTAAAACAAGTATAGAGTATATTGCTTCATCTAAGTCAGGGGTGGGCAATTATTTGGGCCTGAGGGCCACATAGTGAGTTTTGATCAGCTGTCACGGGCTGGGTTAGCACCCCTCCTCTCCCCATCAACAACTCACCAAAATTCCCTGTGGGGCTGTAGGCAGCTGGGAGTAGTGTTCAGGAGTGGAGTAGGAGGGGTGGGAGAGGCCGGGATCACATGCCCCTGCCTTTGGGGGTGGGGTGGTGTGTGTGGGGAAGGGGGCTGCTTGGGCATTAGATCCCAGGGACCTACTGTGGGGGGAGAATGGGAAGGATGCAGAACAGCTGCCCTGGGTGGTATCGTCTGTGCTGCAGCAGTCCACGTGGGGCTGAGGACCAGCTGCACACACAGCCTGATGAGGTGCTGCTTTGTACTCCCCGCCTCCAGTTCTGGGATCTGGAGCCAGAGACCCACATGTCTGCTATGAGTGGCACGGTGTGATGTGGCAGGAGGAACTGCTGCTGGCGGTGGGGGGCATGGAGCAGGAGCAGCTTCTGGTGGGCTGATCCTGGTGTTGCTGCAGTTGTCCAGGTGCTGCTCTGCACCTTCCTACCCTCTGGCAGGTACATGGGGCTCTGGCTCCAGATCCCAGCTGCTTCCACTAGAGGGCAGCCAGGAACTGAAGCCGGAGCCTTGCATGCTGGGGTAGGAGCCACCTGGCTGAAACTGCTTGCCTGGTGTGGCGCAGCACGGCTCAGCAGGGGCAAGTTGAAAAGCAGGAGCCATTGTTGCAGGCATGAGGTGCAGAGCAGCACCCAGCTGCAGCTGCACTAGGAACAGCCCCAGCAGAAGCTGTGCACTGGCCAGGGCCCAGGCCGGCAGGAGCCCAGCGCAGACTGCCCCAGGCAGGGCAGGTAGAGCACTGTGGGGCCAGCCACAGGCTGGATCCAGTCACCTGGTGGGCCGGATCCAGCCCACAGGTGGTATTTTGCCCACCCCTGATCTAAAGGATGTGACTCTATAGCACTGGATGGAAATATTATCCATTAAAGGAAACTACATACATCTCAAAACTACTTCCCCTATGCTCCTGGAGGCATCAGTCTTATGCATGCTCTACCCAGCCACTCCTGCTTCACAGCCACCAAACCTAGATATAACCTAGTGAAGCTGTCTGTCTCAAGCACACTGAAGACAGAGCTTGAAAGTAGCAGCATGGCTTCACTGTCTCATTTCTAGGTTTTGCATGTGCTCCAGAGTAGTTCCCCCAGGAGCCTTGGGGAAGCAGAGCAGTCATACCCATTAAGTAGTGTTGGTAGGCTGAATGTATATTTCTAAATACAGGGATCCCTAGGCACCTTTCACACTTGTGACTAATCCTTGCTTGTGCAACTCAACGTTAACCATTCTCCCCTCTGTTCCTTCACGTATCTTTCATTCAATGCATCTGATGGAATTATTCATGTGAGTTGGCCTTACTCTCGGTGTCCAACTGTAATTCAATCTTGCATTTCCATCTAATTAGAATATTAAACATGATTCAACTGCAACAAGAAACTCTTGAGTAATGTTTTCACACTAAGCTACTCCTGCTTCTTGCTGGCTCTTGTATTGCAGTACTCTTATATATGGTACATAGGGTCCTGCATTCTTCCACTCAACATTTATATGAAAAGGACAGTTAAGTCAACTGGCTTTTACTTTTCAGCAAGCACATGAAACTGCACCCCCCAGTTTGGTTTGTTTACCATTGTACTTCCCAACACCCTGCACAGTTCTCATCTTTCATCTAACTCTATGTTGGAACCCTTTGAGCAGAGACTTTGTCTTTCTATCCATCTGTCTACCTATTTAAAAAAACCCCAACAACTCCTAAAGCCTGAGCACTTAGGGGCCAATCTGTCTGCCTCTCCTGTGGTCACACAAGTCCATGCACAGTGGAACCAGAGTGTTTCAAATGTGTAAGGCAGAGCTGGATTCATAGATGTGTATGTGTGGGTGTGCTTGGGGGGGCTCTCAGCATGGCAATGTGTTGGCAGGGTCAGAGTAAGGCCAGGGAAGAGGATCTGCTGCAAAAGCTACTCCAGGTGTTTGGATGAGGGAGCCTCCTCTGAACAGCTCAGCAGTCACTTTGTTAAAATAATGAGAAAAAACCCTTTTCCACATCTCTCAAAATACCTTGGCTAGGCATAAGAAATTGGGTTAGTTCTTATAACCAGGAATCTTTAATTGGCTGCCAGGCTGTATAAGCTTCTGTGTTTGTGTACATGTTTCTGAGGTAGATAAAAGAACTTCCTTTACATGACTGTTTTTCATGTGTATATGCTGTGCTTAATTCATGTCCATGGATTTGGCACAGTACAGAACAGGTCTCCTAAACTGTGGTCTGTGGGACATATGCAGCCAATGAGCCCCTCTGATGAGGCCTGCCACCCAGGACTGCTCCTCTGAAATGGCTGTTCAAGGGCAAACATTTGGGGACCCTTGCTACAGAACACCTGTTTACAGACTATTAGAAAGACAAGTCATCATCTTGATCTCTCCTGGAAGGGTTTCCTTGGTAATAAAAATATTAAAATTTTCCTGTCGCAGTGGTGGCTACTTACATGAAAGTATGTGTGCTGTCCTGGCCACTGTAAGGCCTCCTTCTGGGAGTCGTATGGAATCCTGATGATTTCATGTCTATATGGATTACCTAAAAGGTTACAGAAAACAGTATGATACGCGTTGGTTAGCACCAGAATCAGAGCAAGAGAGAAGTTCAAGTGGAGAAATTAGGCCTGAACACAAATATTTTCTGGAGTGTGTTTTATTGTAGAGACTGTGGTTTAATACAAATTGACACTAGCTTGCAAGACACTCACTGCATTTTCTGTGTGCGGTTTACAAAGAGTAAATGATGACAACAAAACCCACAGAAATATCACTAAGGCTTGGTGAATTAAGGTTGGCTGTCTCCTTAATTCTACCTCCAGAAGTGGAACTAAGTGGCAGGGGAGATGTTATGCCAATGAAAGTACCACTAATGCTGGTTAATCACTTAGACTTAACTGGAGCAACTGGGTTCCACTTAGTTAGTGGCAGAGAAACTGGGCTCTGCCACTAACCTGCTACGTGGCCTCTTT